ATGTTTTTGATCACTGTTAAATCTCATATTCCTTGTCATTGGTCCATTCAGGTTTTCTATTTCTTTATGATTCAGTCTTGGTAAGTTCTATGTTTCTCTGAATTTATCCATTTCTTCCAGGTTATCCAATTTGTTCGTGTATAATTGTAGAATTGTGTCTATAATCTTTTGTATTACTGTGGCACCAGTTGTAATGTCTTTAATTTTATTTCTGATTTTATTTATTTGAATGTCTCTTTTTTCCTCTAATCAACCTTAGGTTCATGAATTTTGATTATCTTTTTTAAAAAAGGTAGGTCTTAGTTTTGTTGATTTTTTATATACATTATTTTCTGGTCTCTATTTCATGTATTTCTACTCTGATATTGTTTAGTTTCTTCCTTCTGTTGACTTTAGGCTTACTTAGTTCTTTTACTCGTTTTTGAGGTATAAAGTTGGATTGGTTTTTTTTGAGATCATTCTTTTCTCTTAATGTAGGTATTTATCACTATAAACACCTCTCACAGAACTACTTTCACAGGTCTTTGGTATGTTGTGGTTTTTTGCTGTATCTTTTAGGATATATTCTGTCTTCTTTGACTCATTCTTTTATCAGGAGTGAGTTGTTTAATTTGCACTTATTTGTGAATTTACCAGTTTTCCTTCTGTTGTTGATATTTGCTTTCATACCACTGTAGTCAGAGAAGATATTCGGTATGATTTTAAACTTCTTAAAAATTTTAAGAATTGTTTTGTGACCTACTATCTTATCTATCCTGGAGAATGTGCCGTGTGCACTTCAGAAAATATACATTCTGCTGCTGTTTGATGGAAAGTTCTATATATGTCTGTTAGGTCCATTTGGTCAAAAGTACATTTCAAGTTCAACATTTCCTTATTGAATTACTCGGTGGATGATCCATCCATTGTTAAAAGTGCTGTATTGACGTCTCCTACTATTATCATATTTCTATTTCTATCGTATTCTATTTCTATATCTATCATATATCTCTTTCTCCTTTCAGATATGTTAGTACTTGTTCAATATATTTAGGTGCTCCAATGTCGAATGCACATATATTTACAATTGTTATGGCCTCTTGATGATTTGGCCCCTCCATCACTGTATAATGACTTCTTTGTCTCTTGTTACTATTTGACTTAAAGTTTATTTGTCCAATATAAGTTTAGCTACACCTGGGTTCTTTCAGTTTCCATTTCCATAGAGTATTTTATTCCATCCCTTTACTTTCAGCCTATGTGTGTCTTAAAAGCTACAGCCAGTCTTGCCTAGTTGAGTCTTTTATTTTTCGATCCAGTCAGCCTTCTGTGTCTTTTGATTGGATAATTCAATTCATTTACATTCAGAGTAATCATTGATAGGTAAGGACTTAGCAATTCAATTTAATTAATTGTTGTCTAAGTGCTTCATAGTTCCATTGTTCCTTTCTCCTTCTCTTGCTGCCTTCGTTTGAAAATTGATGATTTTCCATAGTGCTATACCTTGATTACTTTCTCTTTATCTTTTCTGAACCTACTATAGGTTTTGCTTTATGTAACTTACATACAATATCATAGATATAACAATCTAGTTTAAGCTGATAACAAATTCACTTTGTTTGCACACACGAACTATACCCTCTGATTCCCCTCCACACATTTTATGGTACTGTGTCACAATTTACATATTTTTCTATGGAGTATCCATTAACAAATTATTGTAGCTATAACTATTTTTAAAACTTCTGTCCTTTGATCTTTATATAGGAATTAAGTGACTTTTACACCGACATGTTAAAGAATTCGAGTATTCTAAATTTAACAATATATTTACAATTCCAGTATGTTGTATACATTTATATGTTCTCATGTTAGAAATTAATGTCCTTACATTTCAACTTGAAGAATTGCTTTTAGCATTTCTTGTAAGGTAGGTCTAGTGTTCAGGAATTCCCTCAACCTTGATTTGTCTCGTAAAGTCTTTACAGCTCCTTCATTTCTGTAAGGCAGCTTTGCTGAGTAATATATTCTTGGTTGAAAGTTTTTTCTTTATTTCATCACTTTGAATATATCATCCCACTCTCCCCTCCATCAAGGTTTCTGTTGATAAATCTCCTGATATCCTTATGGGGGTTCCCGTGAATGTGAGGTATTTTTTGCTCTTGCTTCTTTCAAAATTCTCTCTGTCTTTGCTTTCAGCCATTTTTATTATAATGGGTATTGTAAAAGATTTTTTGTCTGGAATATGTTTGGGGTCTCGTGAGCTTCTTCATTTTGATAGTCTATATCTCTTCCCAGATTTGGTAAGGTCTTAGAAATTATTTCTTTAAATAAACTGTCAGCCCCTGTCTCTAACTTATCTCATTCTGGGAATCTCTTAATGCCTACAATGTTTCACTTCATAAACTACCACAATTCACGTAGGCTCTCTTCATTCTATAGTTATTTTTCCTTTGTTTTCCTCTGACTAGAAACTTTCAAATATCCTGCCTTCTACTTCACATATTCTTTCTTCTGTCTGGTAAAGTCTGTAGTTGATGCTCTCATTGTATTTTTCATTTCACTCATTGAGTTCTTGAGTTCCAGAATTTCTGTTTATTTCTTTTTATGATTTGTTTCTCATTGTTTTCCTGATTTGCTTGAACTGTCCTTTTGTGTTTTCTTGTAGCTCACTGAGCTTCCTAAAAACAAGAATTTTGAAGAATTTTAAATTATTTAATAGGCTAATCATAGATCTTCATTATTTGGGTTCAGTTACTGGAAAAATATTGTGTGCTTTTTGTGGTATCACGTTTCCTTGATTTTTCATGGTTCTTGAAGTGTTGCATTGCTGTCTTTGCATTTAAAGAAGCAGTCAATTCTTCTAGTCTTTACTGACTGAATTTGGTAAAGAAATAACTTCTGTCACCCCTGCTAGGGATTCTGATGCTTTTTCAGACCTTCTCTGTGGATATACTGGCTCTACACTTCTTGTTACCTCCTGGGAGGGAATTCTTACAATGTACTCCTTCCCTCGGTCCTGGAAAGCCTGTCTGGGTGCTAACAGCTTCCTGTTTGCTTTCCCTGAAGAAATGCTGAAGGATTAAGTTTATGCTTTCCCCCATTCCTGTGGAGTGAGATTGGCTTTCTGAGTTTGCACACGAGCTATGTTCAAAGGCTAGTATTTGCTACTTTGGGGAATATACACAGGGAGCTGACCATGGGATGGGGAGTGTGTGGGTGAGATGTGTTGGGGTGCGTGTGGGTGAGCAGGACCTGCCGGCAAGGCATCTTCAGTGGCTAGTGGTCAGGGTTCCTGATGAAGTCTGCAAAGTGCTTAGTAGGATTTGTGTCCCTTGAGACATTCTGAGCCTGTATGTTGTGCTCCAAGCTCTTCCCAAACCAGCCAATCATGCAGATCACCCCAGTATTCTGGATGTGTTGGGGTAGAAATGGGCCCTTTTGTCAGTGATGCCCACAGCTGAGGAAGTCAAACACTCACTAACAGTCTCTTTCTTTCCCCCAGTGAGAAAATCTTGGGCCGAGTGGATCTCTCTTGGCACTGAGCTGTGCCACTGTAGGGGAGGAGTGACTCAGGTAAGTGAAACTGTACCTCTCACCCTCTTCAATACATGCAATCTGGGATATTTTTGCTCCAATGGTGAGCTGAAATGTCTCTGCTGGATTCCTCAACTCCAAAAAAAGTGCTCTTGTCCATGGGTCGTTGTCCAAGTCAGTGTTCTTTGTGGGGAAATAAATGGAAACTTCTTTTCTGTCATCTCGCTGATATCACTATATTATTACATGTTTCTTCTTTGTGGCACTTTTACCATTTTCTTGAATAATGTCTATCAGTAGGCTCATTTATTTTGCTATATATGTATCAAGAAATTTTTATATCCATTCATACGCACTTGGAAAAAATTAAAATCAAACAGGTCCATTGGCCAAACAAGCAGTTGATATAAACATTTTGTCACAGGTAATATAGACGGGTCTTAGCAAATCATAAACATGTTAGGATCATAGACCAGTGTACTTACTGACACGGATGCATCTGGGAGGTGGGGACCAGCCATTCTCCGTACATGTCATTGATGTCTGCTCATCTGGAAAACTGTAGCCAGAATGGCATTCAACTTTTACAGATTGACCCTGTAAATAATTTTTTCCCCAATATGGATAATTTCCGTGTTCCAAGTAATTGAAAATACATTGTCCTAAGGATCATAAAAATGATAAATGAAAAATTTTAAAAACCCATAAATTAGGCAAAAATAGTAAACTAACAACTATCCTTACAATATTTAAATTGGAATAAATAACCATCCAAAAATAAGATATAACTTAAGAAAAACCAAAGTTACTACCATTTTTTAAAAATAAAATATTAATACTGAATATTATTTTGCTTTATTTTTACATTAAAATAGATATAAATAATATAGATATTCTTATAAAGCCTCTCTTTTTATCTCTCGTGATTTTCATGAAGAGATCCTCGTGAAAAGAAAGATGTATATTGGTCATTTTGCTCATAGAACTCATCTTTTGGCCTTATTTTTTTCATAGAAGACTCAATTGTATTCACTTAAGTGTTTAAGTCCCTCCACTCTCTGAAATATTTGTATATATACAATTATAAAGAGGTTTACTTACTTTGGCAGGGTACTGCTGGTGACCATCCTTCTTGTCTGCAATAAAGATGACCCCCTTTATGTCCTGAAGGAGTCACAAAATTTTGATCACAGTAATAGTAGTAATGTTGTCCTATACGTACTGGAAAGTATGGTTTATAATAATCTTCATAATGTAGACGTCCATGTTTTATTTCTGGAAAATCACAAGGCTTCACTAGCAATAAAAAAAACATAACAAAACCGGTATAAACAA